TAAGGTATTCAACAAAACCAATCCAACAATTTAAAAACAAAAAATGTATCTTTTGGTTTGTTAATGCACCGTTTTTTTCTCCGAAGGCTTGAGAACGAATTTACAAGCTGACTCGTTTGAGCGTGAGCATGTATCGTGCTTATTATCGTGACAGATATCTTACAACTCAACCACCAAGCTTACTAGGATGGACAAACTTTGGGTAAACATTGTTGTTAATATAGCGAAGAGCAAAACACCAATTTTAAAAAGAGTATTTTTGCTTGTTCGGATTTAGTGGCATTCTGCCAAGTTTAGAGATGTTCTTATCCAGCCTGGAATGGGAATTTTTCCCCCGGTAAGTACACCAAGTCACGCGTGAAGTCAAAGTGCTTTAGAGCGCCCTCGAGTTGAATTGATCGCTCCCCTCTTCAGGCGATTGATGCGCCCTCCGTGCCATAGGCAATGACCATCCATCTCTCGCCTCGCCTCTCAATCAACTGTCCGTCTTAAAGGGCTTCAAGCACGAAACATCCAGCGAGGGCTCGATAAGAAGTGGATGGAGGGACGTCCGCAGGTTAGTGATGCGTGTTTGTGAATCTTAGCCGCCATTGGTTACACCAGGAGCTATTCGCCGTGGTATCACAGAAGGTTCGAGGCGCCGTGCGTCCCACGTCCTCTCCGCTTGGTGTACGCTGCGTGGGCGCTCTGAAATGCCTGAAGGACATTTTGTTTCTGTCATCGATAGATATATATCTTCGTCTGTTGTGTGCGTGCTTACATACCATTTTGTTGCACATTGAACAGGGATTTGAACTGATTAATATAGACGTACTGAAATTGGACTAGAAAGTTGCTTCTGATTCGCTATTCAAACTTGGGAAGCATTTCACCCAATTAAAATGGACACATTGCAGTCTGAATTTTCAGGACCAGGTAACCTTTGGATGTTGAAATTCCTCTTAGACAGGATATATACTTCCCACGTATTTTATCAGGACTTCATCAGGATCGAAACGGCGGGCTCGCTAACTTTGTAAGCTTTCAACAAGTTGAATAGAAAGAGAATGATGGCAAACCTCTTCACTTTGACATGCAATTCGAGCACTTTAGAGAGTTGAGAGCACTTTCCCCGTTTTATGTCGGGGTATTTATCATTCGTTTACATCTTGGACAATTTGTTCAATGGACTGCGAGGCTCTATATGAAAAAGACTGGAGACTGACTTCACCAAGTGCTTGTGGCACCGGCCTCCCATGCACAATCTGAGGTTTCGTGGTGGTTGTGCCACGAGTCTTCATTTCCATGCAAGCAGCGCGATTGGACCAGTTCACACGCACGCATGACGTAGACGCGCATACTGTTCAAATCTTGGTTTCGTCTGGGCTTTAGTATTGAGCTCCACGATCAGTTTCAAATTCTAATTGTTGGAACCAAGTAAAATTACTACAAATAGACAACCCGATGTTGCTGCAATATTAAACGGATCTGCTTTGTGCGACAGGGTCTCAACTCAAGCGACTAAGCTCGTGAAAATGAGGGTCTAAACCAAACGCAGAGACGGGCCCGAAGTGTGGAGAAAACAAAAATGGGCCTATATTTGTATTACACAAGTCGGGGATACACCCTTGTCCTTTCTTATGGAATGCTTTTTATAGCCAGTCTTGAGAGCAGCCTAGGCTCCACTCCCAGTGGAAGTTTCCCCTGTTGAAATATCGAATTTACTTGTCTTAAACAAATCTTCTAGAGCCGCGATAACTTGCGATTAGAACCTTATTTATGTTGGGTTTCCCAAGCGTATTTAAAATGTAAAAAATGTTTCGCGGACCGACGAGCCGGTCTGCGCCCCTCTCTTTAATTAGCGCCCTCTGTCGAACAATAAAATATTCTGGGGCGATAACTCGTCCGGTAGACGGATTCGATGGTTTCACGGAAAACGAAGCCAATAGTGGCCGTGCCACCGCACAGTCCAGGCTGCAGATTAGTAGCGCGACGTAGCGGCAGAGATACACCACCAGTCAACGGGTTCCAAATGGATGCACAGTAGAAATCTTCACGTGTGCCGTTGTTCGTGCTTTTTGCAAGTCGCCACTCTCCACCGCTGCTCTCCGTCTCTGGATTTTTCGTTCACACGAGGGGAAAGTATGTTCCAGGGCCTATCGGAGCCAAGGATAATACAGACGGAGACCGTCTTCCGCTCGGCGAGCACGGGCATGGATTAATCGCTCAATCGACGTAAGTTTTCCTGAGAATGGAAACGTCTTCCCATTTTGTTTCTGCCTGTTATATTTCTTGCTAATGCGTGGTCTAGTAGTCTTGTGGGGATTCTGTTAAAAGCTTCCATCACTGTCTTTAATGTGTGCCCTTGGCACCTGTGCTTTCTTGATTGAAGAATTCAATGGATTTGCAACAAAAGAAGTCTTACAGTGTGCCGATTGATGGACCGAATTGTATTGCACGGAGGTTTTACCTAAGAATCTGCGTTTCCGGGGTCCATGGCGTCACCGCACTACATTGGACGATATCGATTGCGCAAGTTGTTATGAAGCGAGCTTGAAGCTCACCGCACACCCGGCAGCGTGCCAGAGAAATGTAAGATTATTGATACGAAAGTATGCACGACAGAATAACACGTGCAAATTTGACACCTCCATTTGTGCTCACATGCCTAGGATCAGACGGTAAATCCACTCGAGGGATTTTTTCGGCATAGAGTCATATAGGCCCTATATCGCAATAATTAAGGGGTAGTTTGGATAACTTGAGATTTTTTGTGTGAAGTTATTAGCCCAACATCATAGGTCTTTTGAACAAGCAACTGGCCTCTTCTGTTCAAAGTGTGGCAACTGAAATCTCGTACTTGGAACCTCGATATCTTAATGATCATTATTGCTAAAGAATAGTTACTGAACATGACTGCGTTGATATAACTTTCTGTATTCGAACCTAACCACACTGTCTTTGGAAGAAAAACAATACTGTTGACAGTTAAGTCGAGCGTATAATGCGCGTATAGTGGTCAGTTTTAGATGATATCGGCAATCAGAAACAAGATGTCGTTATAACTTGCTGAACAGCATTGCTCGGGAAGAATACCCCAGGGCTGTGTTATGCAAATTAAATAGGATTCGCCGGATGCAGAACGTGATATATAGCAGGGCGGATGAAACATTAAAACTATGCTATGACTATATGCCACCGCCTTCAACGAGGCATTCGGCTTGCGTACGGCACGTATGATATTTGCTCTGGCCTTCCATGATGACTTTTATCGAGTTCTCTACATAGTTTTTTCAAGCACTACCTTCAGCAGTCACTCTTATCCAATTGCGTTAATTAACTCGCTGTATTCTTGCGCAAGAACAAAAGCCCATTGGGATGAAATCGTACATGTGTAAAAGTACATCCTTCAATAAAGTAGTTAATTCTTAAATTATATACAAATTTAAGAAGTGAGGTTGCTTTTTATACGCGTTATGAAAAAAGGAAATCTATATTCAAACCACTTTGTTTATAACCATTTAGAAATAACTGCTTTGTATAGTCAAAGACGTGTACCTTCAAAAAGGGAATAGTGCGTATCGAAAACTTAGATACCTGTTTTGAAACAAATGTGTTTTTTGTTTGTTGTACTTGGTAAAGTCTGAAGAATATTGTGCACTCAGCTGTTTGCACAAGCCGGAACTAATTTACAGCAGGTGTCTACTGGCGTCTATATTTAGATCTTTTATCTTCAAGATTGTTTAAATTCCTTCAAAGCGATACTAGGCGCGTTAGAATGCATAGAGCAAAGTATTCCATTCACAAAGAATGTTCGTGGAACGGCGACTGCATGTACCAAGGAAGTATTGGAGCCATTTTAATCTAAATTTACCAAAAGCCTTTGTTCCATATTTAGCTTACGTCTGTGCAAACTTATTATAAGATTTTTGCGAGATAAATCGAAATAAGATCTGGTACATGGAGTCATCTTATTGTAGGTAAATATGACAGGTTGAATTCCCAGTCTAAAAATTCGGGGCAAGCTTTTCCATAGCCACCACCATCTCTGGAATGGATTTGTTCCTTTGTGCTCTTCTTATCCAATGAAAAGAGAGTATTATTGCAAAGTGTCTCTGATGTACGGGAACTATTAAGCTTGCTCCGAATTATGAGGTATAGCAACAATGTCTTTAGTATGGAGAATTTTAATTGTGTACCAGATTTAATTCAGATTTAACTCGTTAAAGGCTGATTGCCACACGTTGTCATCACTCCTTCGTCGGTATTAATTCTTACCCAGAGAGAGAAAGATGATTGAAATTAACTCTTAATGACCTTAACCTTAATGAGTGCCGGCCCCATCCCAAATTCTGTGTCACGAGATAATTATTTCCATTCGATTTAATAAGCGCAGGTTTTCCACGAAGGCATACAATAGAGTAAAAAACGTTGGGAGTAGACATGAAGATATAATTATTCTTCGTGAATTAAATTATTTGTTTTCGTGTTTACATGTTTTTGCCATAATTTGGTTTTATCGCTGTATATCCCCTCGCTAGCTGTTTACATGCCTCCTTCGACTGCAAGTTTCATTCTCGGTAATAAATAACGAGAAGACCCACAGTTTTGTTTTTCTAAAACTCCAGTTCTACTGAGCGCATGCTTTATTATTCCACGACGTCCACCAGAGAAGAAACCGTCTAAGATATGCCCAAATATAACCTCTAAATCCGCAAACGGCAGGGAATTCTGTGATGTTATCTTGAGAGGATCTAGTCCAAAGACTGTCCGACTCTAACCTCGTTTGCCCACAAAAAAATATACTTTCCCTGCAGTTGTCTACGGACATGGCGACGAACATGTTTCTAGACTCTCATCGCACACCGAGCGCCATTTTTTTGGGGGGTGCATCAGTGTTTTTTCCAGGGAAAAATAATTGTAAGGAAAACAGAAAAATACACCAACCCCCGAACACACTCTCTTAAATATAGATCCCACCGTCTCTCTTCGGCTCCTCGCAGCTTGGGGCGTTGTATGGGCAGCTGAAATCTTCCCGCATTGATTGCTTTATACGCGATATCGCTATTTCCCATCACGAACACACGGCAACCTCTTCTAAGTTACTAAAAGAGGAGACCCTCGTCTTCGGTGAGAGATATGATCATTTAAAAGAGTCTTTTTAGCCAAGCTTTTAAAACGTCTGACTCAAATTTACTTCTGCTTTTATCAAAGACCAATTTTAAAGATCTTCCGATTAGTTGTACTTGATGCTGTGCTCGCAAAAGGTTTGTAATAAGGCCTTAGTAGTCATTTCATGTCGTTATTAGCTTTTTTTCTGTCGGCATGGGTTAAACATTTTCTTTGATTAATTCGTTATTTTCTTTGTTTAATGGGTTTGTTTATTAACTATATGTATACCTGTCGTAGCATTGTGAGTATCCAGTTGCTACAGAAATCAATGCTTAACTGATGCATCATGGAACAGTTTGAAACAAGAGGTAATCAGATGGGGAAAATGTCTATTCAATTAGTGGATGCAGACCAAGAGCTAATATTGGGCAAACAAACTGACCAGCGAATCGTTTGGCACTAGGGAATAAAATTACCGAGGAAGTGAGCAAGGCGGAAATTGGGGGCACAAATTAATTGGGAATGGGAAGATATTTTGTTCTGCGTTTCATCGTTAACTGTTTTTGGTTTGTTTCGCTGTTTTGATATTCTGTTTTGTTTGTTTGCTTGGTTTTTCTTTTCTTTTTTTCTGCTCAAAAACTGTTATGCGTCCGTGAACCGCTTGCTGGGTTCGCTGTACTCTGTGAAGCAAGTTGGCAGTATCGCAAACAGATGTCACGTCTTTGTCTTCCTCAGAATATAGAAGTAGGATTGTGGCAGTGTCAGTCCCACTTAAGAAATAAGCTACAGCTGTTTTCCCTTCTTCGGGGTGTTTAAAGAAATTGTAGAGTGACAAATGTCGTGATTTGTTTATTCATTTTTTAAATTTATTTCACACCTATAAAAGTAAGAAAAGATTTTAAAAAATAAACAGGTGCTGTTAAGGTCAAATAAAAGTATAACTGTCATCCAACGATGCGTTTAACCAGACCAACCCCCTTCCCCGTACAAAGAACAGCAAATTCTTGCATTAAATAAGAAGAAAACCAGCTGGAGATTGAACATGCAATTTAACAACTTAAAAAATCATTTCTCGCGTCACTGAGAAATCACTCTCAAATATATTCCTTCAACCAACTATTTCTCAACATTCTAATTGAGATTTATCCCTTTATTCCTTTTCTTTGGAATGTGCTGATACTCCATCCCCTTCCGCATTTCGTTTGGTCACCCCCTTCCATTATGCACTTGGTACCCTCTAACGCTGAAGCTAATTAATTAGAATGCTCCAACAGTGTGTTAACTAAGTCCCTTGGGAGAGAATTTTTCGGTAAACCAATTTAAGCCAACGAATGTAATGCGCTGTTTCTGTCGCGAAGCCTCAGCTCAATTAGACCCTGGTTGATTTTTTTTTCGCTTTCGGGCGCCGTCTTGTCCCCCTTTCCCTGAAGCAGCTGAACCTGTAGACTCACTATTCAGACGCGGTGGGAACGCGCGACACCAAACCTGCAAAATGCCACAGAAGGAGAGCATGGGTGAAAGAGTATCGATTCTCAGTCAAGTTAGATACCGCTGGGATTTGCTTTAATCTGATTTATCGGATGTCGATTATGCTGGTGGTGGTGGCGGCGGTGCATGTCCCATCGGCTTGTCTCCGTCGATCCACGGGACCAATCTTCAACAAGACACAAGTGAAAATTTCTGCAGTGTTCCCCGAGGAACTTAAGATGCAGGCCGTTGGACAATGTGTGAACAAATCACGATTTATTGGTAAACATGGTCAGAGGAGGAAAGCTCTTACAGGAATGAAATTGCTTCTTCGGTGTGAGTAGGAACGTGCCTCCCACACGCTTAGAAATCTGTTTCCGTCACTGTTGGGTACCCGCGAGATCCCCATGCCATAGAAAAAAAAACAAAACAAATGAAATCGGAAGGAAGGCTTCTCACAAAACCGTACCCTGCTGCGCATCCGCACTGCACTCCCCATCGGCGTGGCAAACCATTATTGCAGATATCAATTATTAAAAAGTTCCTTTGAAGCTGTTCGTGCCTTTTACAAAGACAGTGTTGGAATGCACGGAGGGCTTTTTGTAATAGAACCTCGAAGATAAAACTGGGTATACCCGCCATTTTTTGAGGTGGAA